TGTGGGGGTTAGGTAAGTATGCTGTTCTGTTTTCATATGACAGTCAAAATGGTGCCTCTTCTTGCTCTCTCCTAAACAGTTAGGCTATGTGATTTTTTGAATCAGCTGAAGCTTCCGAAGAATGATATGAAGACCCTCTTGGAAACCCTGTGTAAAGCCTTCAGAGACTGTGGTAAGTTTCAGCTGGACAAAGGGAAAAGAGGTTGTTTATTATGGTAGACATCTTCTCTCTGATGGACGCTATTGAAAGCTGTATCAAGCACACCTCAAGCAAGGTGCATTTGTATAGGGAACTCAATAGCATGAGAGAGCACATGGAGGTGACGCCTTAAAGAAGAGACCATTAGCTTGCTCAGCATGGGGCTTATGTCTGTGGATCTGAATGATTCCAAGCAAAAAACTGATTTTGTCAATTTGCCCATGAAGGGGTTCAAGATGAAGAAATCAAAAGCGCAACAGAGACGGCACAACACATCCACACAGCTGCCAGGCCTACTGTTGTGACTTCAAGACAGAGTACAACAGGTAGGAAAGCACAATACATTCAATATATTATCAAGCACATAAATAACCCTAAGGACCAGCTGTCTCTGCAGAGGCCCTGCATTAGCTAGCCACCCTAATTTGTAGCTTGGAAAGGTAGCATGGGGTACAGTTCAAACTCAGCAACACACCTACATCTGTCATACTTACGGCCTGATATATAATTGTCTAGTATCTCCAACCACTTTCCCTGAGTTAAAAGGTTAACCACTACAGCCTCAGGACATCTTTAAAACTGATGCTGTAACACATTTTGGCAATCATTCTCCTGCTGATGCTCAAATCCTGCAGAAACAACACTTGCATTCAAGGCACTTTAATAATCACATGCTTTCTCATAGTGGCAGACCAAATGTCCTCAGACCAGAAAAGTGCATCTGCACCTGTCCAAAAGCAGGTCAGAATGGTTACAAAATGATCACTGACTGAGTCTATTTAATAATTAAGCGGTCAAAGACAGTGGACAACAGATGGGGCTGCATAAGACTATTAATTCAGTGCACCACAATGATACTGAATTGTTTGAGATAGCAAAACAGCCCGCATTGCCTCCAGCTTCTAAATGGACTACTTCACATTAGAAATTCAGTACATTGGCATATAACAATGTAATAGATACTTTGATCGTAATGGTCATACAGCTTACCTTAAAGAACTTGGTCTGTAAATTGACAAAAAAGGGGAATGGAGCCATTTTACTTTTTGTCTCTGTAAGCCACAGGGCCTGAAGCTGGACCTGCCCTCAGCAAATCAAACATGCAAGAGCCTTCAATGATCCTCCCAAATGCTGGTAATTTTTAAAATTTTAAACAGGCTGAAGCTTGCTAAGGACAAAATCATGACAGACAACCATCCTCGACTTTGATCTGTTTGTTTCATTATTTGCAGGTTTGCCTGTTCCCACGCCCAGGGTCAAGCCAGAGCTGCCAGAAGGGGAGAGGTCCCAGAAATCCGGTATTTGGGAATTTTTTGGTCATGTGATCAAAATCCAGAGTCTCCTGCAATTTCAAAGCTCACAGTTCTACATCTCTCCTACTCTGTGACCCATCAATGGTCACCATTATTATTAATGCGAAAACAGCTAAACGAATCCCCTTTTGTGGGGATAATTTGGTATTTTTCCCCGCTTATTTTGCTCTATATGGCATCCCGCATGCAAGCTCTTTTTTCCCTTCCTTTTTTGGCAGTGCCATCAAATTCAGGGTCTTCCTGCAATTTCAGCATTTGCTGTTACTCAGCTCACTGATTCTTTAAGCCCTATAGAACTGGAGGGAAACTAACCTGAAGGGTACCGGAGCAGTCGAAGTACCCAAACAAAAAAAAAAAAAAAAACAGAACATATTTTTCAAATATGCTTCAGTGAATAAATTTTTTAGTTCAATTAAAATATGGAAAGTATGTAAATAAGTGCTCTTTTGGTAGATTGCAAAATATTTCTGCTTTGCATGAATATATTTCAAATGTATTTGCAAGATAAGTAAAGTAAGTAAGTAGGTATTTGCAAGATATTTTTAAGTTGAACAATATGTTTCTCAATATATTACAATATATTTCATTTTCATGTGGGAACAGTTTGGGTTTCTGCGATTAACTCTATGGGCCCTCAGACACAGAGACAGTCACTCCAACTTCACTGTGCCACAGACTCCCCTATGTGCCAGACTCCTTTGGGAAAACCAATCCCAGAACAGAGTCCCAGGTTCTCATCTCTGCCATGCTGGGCGGGGCCGAGGCATTTCAGTGCCAGGATCATGTTAATGAGAGCGGGTTTGCGTGTACTTTCTCATGCCACCAGAGTATAAAAACAGGAAAAGCTCAAAGGAATAACTTCACATGCAATTATTGGGGGGAAATCAAAGAGCACAACACACAGACTGAATAGATCTACATATTCACTGCTCCAGAGAAAGCGTAGGGTATGCACAGTACTGTATACAAGTAATGAAGGAAAACAACAGCTGCTTTGTTGATGAATGATGTCATGTGACCTGTGGGCTTTGAAATGACATGCTGTGTTGATGGTCAACAAGGTAGTTACGTCATTGGGCACACCCTTTACATCTCAGAAGTGCTTTTAGAAAGCCATTTACGCACTTGACAGCATTCACAGTAAGGAGGAGACATAGACGAGCATTATCTGCATTGTAGATCTGTCTTTGTTTGAAGATATCCCAGGATCCTCTGCTCTCCATTTCCTGAGATTGTGTCCAGGGCTTCACGCCAGCAAGGCTTCCTGGGAGGGAGGGTTAAATATGCACACATTTATAAACTGGGTTTTGAAGGGCTCTCAGGGCTGCCTTCTGACAAAGGTACCTGTAGCTGACTTGGTTAACACTTCACTGTAACATTTTCAGCTAATATGAGGTATATGGATCTTGAAAATGGATTTGAGTCAAGTTGTCAGTTCTTTTGAAAATTAACTTCAGGGAAAATATTTTGTTGGGCATACCTAGCTTGCACCAAACCTCATACCTTATAAACCTGAGTAATAAATTCTTGACAAGTCCAGGTGAGTGCTTTTTGAAGGAGTCCTTTGAGAATTTTAATCTGTAACCATACTAAAAACTAGTAGTAGAAGTAGTAGAAGAAGTAGCAGTGGTAGCAGTAGCTGTAGCAGTAGCAGTAACAATAGCAGTATTTAAACGATGAATAAAGATCATAACCAGATGACAGAAAGCTCTTTCTTTGTAGACAGGAAAATGCTCTGGATCCTGCTGGGTGCTCTGGGTGCACTGATTCTTGTGACCATCTTTGTTCTGAAGAGCAAAGTTCTCACCTGTACAAAGGTGCATACATACACAGGTAAGCCCCTGTGGATGGGCAGTAGAGGCCTCCAACACTCTGCTGCCATCTTATTGACGCACGTCTGTTCAGTCCGTTGTGCTTTTGCTTAACATATAGATGTCTTTGATTGGTTCGTTGACCTGGTTAATGATCAATGGTCTGAAATAAATGTGGTGATTTAAAAGCATTACTTGTTTCACGTTGACTCAGCTACCTAATTTTGTGACACTGAGCACACAGTTACACTTAGATACTTCCACGGCAGACTTAAGTTTGTAAGGGTATAATAATTCAAGTCTACAGCAAGAGGTGTCAGACCCTCCAAGACCAGGTCAAGTCTGCAACAGGATGATAAATGTCTCCTCACATACACAAAGTGTCCAGGAGGGGGTGCTCAAGTATCAGAAATGCAGCCACTATAGTTATGTCTTATTACTAGAGGAAATGCTATCTGAGAATACCCAAAAGTAAAGTAAGTGTAAAATCTCATTGAATGCATGTGTAATGATGCATGTTGATTGACAGACACACCTCTTTCCTTTTAACAGATGTAGCCGAATACTCAGAGGAAAAGTGAGTCTTTGAATTTTGGGTATTTCCCTGTTTAAAAAGCTCATGTGCATGAGTGCGGTATTGCCACACAGTCATTCTGTATGAACAAAGACATGTGTTATAGGCTAGGTTTGCCAGCCTGGGAACAGCTGTTCTATTGTACAATCCAGTGACATTGTAGTCTTATAGTCAGGTGCATGTCGTCTCTCACAGACATAAGTACGTCTTTCATTGTTTAATTTATTCATTTCTTTATTAATTTTCAAAGCAGACTGTACAATAAGAATGATGACATTGTTCTTCTGGGAGTGACGGCACCCGGATCTGAAGGGGAAGATAACTACAGCTGTTCTCCTAGAGGTAACCTATAAGCACTTCCTGGGGGGAAAACCTTTCTTTTGCCTGACAAAATGACACAACATAAAGAAAAAACATTTCACCATTTTGTGAAAAAGATAATGTGTTTGATATGAGTTAAATAGCCATGATGTTATACATGAGGATTCCTGAAACATCATTCTCAGCTTGTGGATGTTTAAGTATGACATGCTTTTTCTACAGTCATCATTAGAACATATGCTGTGAAAATGCACAGCTTGCATCCTATCAATTGATACAGCTCGATACTCAGGGAAACCACTCAGGTTAATTAAGCTGCTGAAGAGTGTGATGGCAGTGCTCTACCTGGGAATTAATCCTGCATCCCTAAGGGCATGAGCCAAGCAGCTTAACCAGCATCCACAGAGCAAAGGACTGAGAAGAAAGAAAGTCTGGCTGTGTGTTAATTACATTACAGTACATTATTGTAATTTAGCCGATACTCTTATCCAGAGCAAGTTACATACGGTGGGTTACAATTTTATCCATTTATACAGCTGGATATTTATTGAAGCAATTGTGGGTTAAGTAGCTTGCCTGAGGGTACAACAGCAGCACCCTAGTGGGGAATTGATCCAACAACCATTTTTTTACAAGTCCTGCTCCTTACCACTACACCATGCTGCTGTCCTGGTAACTTACCAGCAGTGCCCCAGCTGGGGTTTAAACCTGTAGATCTCAGGGAGCATCCTAAATACCCACTCCCTCTTGAAAAAGCATGCAGTATCACAGTAGAACGGGGTGGCAATGTAGCCTAGTGGTATGGTGCAGGGCTTGAAACCAAAAGGTTGTCGGTTTGATTCCCTGCTGGGGCAGTGCTGTTGTACCCTTGGGCAAGGTACTTAACCCACAATTGCCTCAGTAAATATCCAGCTATATAAATGAATAACATGTGAAAATTGCAACATATGTAAGTCGCTCTGGATAACAGCTTCTGCTAAATGACAACAATGTAATGTAATAACACACACTTTCACTACCATTCCATCCTGCAACTGCCACTCTTCTCTCTTGTTTGTGGGGCAAACAGCTGTTGCACCAGCCAGTGGTAGAAATGTCTGTCCCTGATATACCAAGTTACACATGCGTTCCACCTTGTATCCCATTCACAATAAGAAAAATGGCAGTACCACTTTCCAAGATTATACAAAATTATTTCAAGTTACAAATCGGTAACTTTTTTGAAACAGTTCTTTATTGAATACAGCTGTTATTGTTTTGCAAGCTAAGACAAAAGTTACTAGCAAATATAAATATTGTGTTGCATGTAGAGTTAAATGATAAATATAAATGCTGAATACGATCATAACCTCGTAAAAGCTGTGATTCAGAGGTAATTCCTTTTTTCATTATTGTATTTTCTTTTCTCTTTTCCCTCCCATATTCTATCTGTATTTCATCACAGCTTCTATGAGATACGACGAAATTTCCCATGATTCTGCGTATTAACTGGATCCAGGGACTGTTAATAGTGTCACGGAATCACTGAAAATCTGTGATTACCTAAATATTTACATTTTGCTCTCATATAGTTTACATATAAAATTTCTGAAATTTAAACTCAATCAATTCCGTGGGAAGAGAATTGCTGTGTAGTTCAGAGTCCCTGAAAGACAAATGCCCGAAGAAGCGTTGATGAAATCAGCGCGAGCACTCTGAGGAAAAATGCCGTGATGACTTCATGGACCCAGCTGACAAAAAAATTAAACCATAGCATAAAAACGTCAATGCCAAGGAGTGCTGAAATGAAGACGGACTGGGGACCTAATGGACAGCGTCACTGAATTGATTTGAGCGATTTATCCTTCACGCCACTCCTGGACAACGGAGAATGACAAGATTAAGTGATTAAATGATTATTCAAAATGGAAAGCGTAGAACACAGGTGGGCCTATTAACACCAGGAGGCACACACTTATTTAATTTGGCAATGTTTGCTCACGTACTTTTCTCAAACAATAATTAGTCATAGTTGCTCTACGTATTACTACAGTGGCAAAACCGTTTCATGGAATCATTTTGGATAATTGCTCCAACATTAGAACCTATTCCAGGGTATTTCCTCCTTTAGCCTCTAGATGGCGCCCATGCATAGCACGGTCTGAATAAGACGAACGCAGGAGAAAATAGAATTAAAAATAAAAGAATATCTGTTTATGTTGCCACTAATTACGTGGCAGTGTTTTGCAGAATGTTGCAGCGTTGGTCCGAGGAAGTCAACAGCCTTCTGATGCCTCCCGCAGTTATTAGTTTTTGGAGATCCAGTGGCATTCACTGGGCGCTGGAAGCATCATTACATCACGTATCGAGTACTACAGATCCACGTAATCACTCACACGCTGCAGCAAAAGTTACCCTGCTGACAAGGGTGCCTATCCATGGGAGTTTAAAAGTAGTTCGAGGTGTTTGATACTGGCAGAATTTATATCCAGCAAGGACCAACAGGGAACAAAACAAGAATGTAATTAGCGCCCGCCGCTACCTGATGTGACCCACAGCGGAATAGCATGAGGACGGGGGCTGTGCATTAACGTATTCAAACGCGCGCTGTGCCATAAAACTTTAATGGCTTATTCCATGCAAGGCTCAGAGAAGCGACAGTTCTTCTACCCCCCATGAAAGAATCAGACTCGTTGCCATTTTGGCACAGCGTTTCATTTCTTTTCATGCGAAAGCATCAGGTCTCCCTCTCCCGGTGCGCTTGCACGGGTAACGGAGGGACAGGGTAATGATTTATACATGGTGTTTCCATTGCGGAGATATAAAACAAAACAAAAAAGTGCGATGGGCCGCAGGCCAACGGTAGACAAGTGTGTCTTTGACTTCAGGCTGCGCTGTATATCCCATTTTGTCCCCGGCGTCCTGCCAAATATGCTTTGCACTTGCTTCTAGGCATTTTACTCTCGGCATGTACTGTTTGTGGTTGGCAAACACCCGCCAATAAACGTATCATGTTTCTAGGTACAGAGATGAAATGATTAAGGACCATGTCAGCATAATTGATTTAATTTCGAATCAGTATTAATTTCATTAGTCAGAGAGGCACCATATAAAATAATAATAACCAACACTGTTAAGATATTATGTACCCATTGGAACACAGACAATAAATAATCCTTTATGAATGAATGGAATTACTTCTTGGCATTTAAATAATGCTGTTCCGTCTTGCACTATAATTGCACTAAAATTCTTAGAAAAGCACGTAACAGGATTAAGGCAAACAGGGTTAATATGCTGTGACTAATATGTACATAGTTATATGTAACATAAGATTATAAGTGCCAAATTAGTATTTTTCCCATGCCAGCTGCTGTTGGGGCTGATTAAGTTTAGCTTTGGGGGTAAGAGTTAAGATTTGGGCATGGTTTGAAATTACAGAGTTATTGTCTGGGTCCAGACTAATGTTCTTGAAGATTTCTTTGATCAATAAACAGGTTAGGTTGCTTTTGTGGGCTACTACATTATTGATCTACATTACATTACATTATTGATTAAATGCTGAATTCTCACAAAGAACAGCATGGTAAGTACTTCATAGTTGTACCTGTAAAATATCATTTGGCTAGATCTAAATATGTGTTTACAGCCGCAGACCAAGGTGTTTGCCATTAGATCAACTGTTAAAATGACACTTAATGCAAATTCTACCAAGACAAATGAGCTGCAGAGCTGCAGAGAGCCCTGGTTCAGTGCAGTTGTTGGTCACGGGGTTTGAGAAGCAGGGGCCTGAGACCTCGTTTTGCATACTAACCACGAGCACTAGCGAGAACGGCGCGGTCGTCAGGGAGACGGCGTTCTCTGTGCTCTCGGCCTTGGCTGTGGCCCTCATGCGCGTGCTCTGTGGGCCAGAAACACAAGCCCCTGTTTATCTGCACTCCTCCGGGGGAAAGTGAGCCGGGGCAGATGGGAGTCTTTAGTTCCCACCTTATTTGAATAGTGACCGGCGCGGATCTTTCACTCTCACAGCAACTGGAAAAACATTCAGATCAACAGATGGGCCGGCTGCACACAAGCAGGGAGATCACTTTCAGGCAGGGACACACCCACACACACACACACACTTATATACGCACACATACAATAGATACACACACACACACACACACTCATACATACAGGCACAAATGCACATAGCATGCACACACTCATACATATACAGCATACATAAACACACATGCATAGACACATACAAACACTACTAAATGCATGCAAACACACACATACACACATTCATATATGCATGCATGTATGCACTCTCACACACACACATTCATTCATGCATGCACACACTCACACATACACACACATACACACATTCATGCATGCATGCACACAAATGCACATGCGTGTGTGCGCGCACACACACACACACACACACACACACATTTTAAATGTCTCTTTTCACCACCTCTGTTGGATCTCTTTCAGTCCATTACCCAGTACTTGCAAACACGTAAAGCTGTGCTTACTGTGTCCCACAAAACATTTGATTTTCATTTTTCATTTTTTTTCCAGATCATTTCATTTCCAGCTCAGTTTATGGCCATGTCAAATAGTGACCGCTATGTTAAATATTGAAACCGTTTCAGAGATTTCCACAACAGGTGGCTTTGAATATTGCATGTCCAGGGTGTTGCACAACTAGAGTTAGTCCTCTACTTGATACGCCTGCAATATGCTTTTCCTCTCAACTTTCAAAACTGAATTCAAGGAACATGCTCCTGTATTTTGATGAGCAACATGAGTTCAGCATTCAATAAAATTAATGAAAATGGCTGTGTGAAGTAATAATAAATACTAATAAGACCAAACACTTAAAAAGAGTGAATAGAGACAATATACAGTTGAATTGACAATTTGAATGTCGTTAAACACAACCTTTCTTGTCTTGTCTTTGTATCATCTGTAAGAGCAAAAATATTTGCCAAATGTGTTTCTTTCGAACACAGTCATTGTTTTTAGTGAGAAGGGATGTCAGTGGCCCAGGCCATGAAACTATACTTGGACAAGAGCAAGATGAGTTATGCATGTAATATGTAAGCCAGCAATAGGAACAATAACTGAACAAAACATCTCCTCACCGCTCTATTCAGTAGTAGTAGTAATAATAATAAGAAGAAGAAGAAGAAAAAGAAGAATAATAGAGTAGATATGAAAAGAAGAAGTGGGGAAAAGGGTTGATTAGACATTTCTTATCCTGTCGTGAATCCCTGCTTCAGCTTCTCATTACCTCGGACTATGGAGGAGGAGGCATTACAAATGCATTTTGGGAAAATGTATATTCTGCCCATGAGCTGTGTAACAGGGCTGCATATTCAAGCCATCAGATGTGGAGGGGAGGGACACATGTGTCCAATCAATTTGTGTTTCATCACCTTGCTGTGATTTTTTGGCACCAAGCGACCAGAATAGACTGACTGCTGCTAACATGCAGAATTAGCTGAGTAGTTTACAAATGGAAACAAACAGCATACTACACAAGGATGTCTGGCACTGAGTAAGATTAGAACTAAATGTCAACAATTACTCATGCATTCATGTTTTCCTCATCTTTTCAACTTTGTTATATAACCTTGAATTAACTTTGTCAATCTAGGCACATATTCTTGAGTGATGTCTTGCATTTATAATTTAACAGGATTTTTTGTTTTATAGCTTGGGAATGTTCAGTAATACACAACTACAGGTGCCTTTTATGGGTCATAATTTTGATGTCTGCACCAAATGGCTACAGTGGCCCTTAAACCTTTGCCCAATAACCCAGAAATGCTCTCTAACCTAATTAGCCAGCCAGAGCCAGTCAATGGAACTG